ACACACACCATTAGACCAATGGAGCTGTGGCAGAAGATGGTGGCAGGGGTTCGTTTGTATGTGTGCAGAAAGAGGCCACATTGCCAAAACAATTATTGACACAAAAATGCATAATATTACAACAACAGAGCAGTATTAAGACAAAATTATAGTAAAACATCAAAATACAATCATATTAGTACTGTAAACACTGAACTACTGAGTTGAAATATTAAACTATGGTGCAGTACCAAGTTGAGTACAGCATGGGGCAGTATTGGACCAATACAAGGCTCCATTGACTGTCATTATAATTCATTAAACATTAATATTTCATAAACTATAAGTTTTACAGGTACCAAAAGGCATGGCCATCATTTGGCRCAGGGGCTTTACAGATATAAATTACAATTGCAGCTCTAGGACAAAGTATGCAGGAGGAGAAGCATGGCAAAGTTGAGATGACTTGGATGGGAAATGAATTGGCAATGCACACAAGTTCAAAGATGAAAAGAAGCCGTTTCTACTCCAGCAGACTCACTCACCTCTTTCACTCCCACTCCTTCGAGGCGGCACTGCGTCCTCTTGGTGGTCATGTGGTCGTCRACGGAGGTGTTTGAAGACGAGTCTTCTCCGTGGTTGTCGGCGTCGCTATCGCTTTCTTCTATGGAGGCAAACATAGCCCTATCAATACAAACAACAGAGCACAGAGCAGGGCTTATTCTCACTAACACCCCTCAGTCCGAGGACGTTCCGATGCTGCCTCCCCGTCCCGTCCCTTCCCTCCATCCTGTACCTGAAAGGCTGTCCTGCTCTTGGACTTCCTGGGAGTTGTTGCTGCAGCATTCGCTGTCTTCGGTGAATTCATCCCTGCCGTCCATGTTAATAGTGTGCTGAAGTCCTGGTAAACCTGAAGTGTGGAACGGCCCTGGGGGAAGAAAAGAGTAAAGATCACTTAATTATCTTCTTGTGATGAGAGAATAAAGCTGAGGATGCAAACAAGTGACAATCAGAAAAAAAAAGCTTAACAACAGTTTTGAGAAGACATAATGCATAATAATAAATAATAATAAAAACCTAGCACAAAAAGTAAGGTGTTTGGTTAATTCTTTATTTGTTGTCACAACACTTCCTGGCAATAATTTTATATCAGGCTTCTAATTGGCAGCACCTGGGGGTACCAGAAGCTCAAAACAACAAAATATGCTGTTTGGCAGAGAAGATTGAGATAATTTTTCATGTGCACAACCCACATACTCAGCTCTACTGCTCATCCCACAAATGCATGTTCCTTACAAATGTGGCACCACTTAAAAGGGAAGTTAACAGGCTTTCCAACAGTATGAGATTTATTACCAAGAAGCATTGTTACAACAAAGAAATAATCTACCAAACACAATTTCCCTTACTTTAAGTATGATGTTAACGTTTCTAAATTCTGAAGTTACTAAAATCTATAGATCTGCMGTCTGCAGAGTCACCTGAACCATTCCAATCCACACAGAAGCAYCACAAAGTCGGCGAGGCGAGCTCGCTAACATGTACTCACGAACATGAACTTACATTTCCAACCCAACCCCCTCTKCTTCACACACAGATCTATGTTAGGCTGTTCCAGCATCGATGCTGCAGTCCCTCAGGAGAAGCAGCCTTGTTTCGTCCAGCTAACTGCCTGAGCAACAGAGTGTGTTTCGTCTCTCTTAACACCACCCACACACACACACACACACACACACACCGAGCAGCCTGGCTCGCCCGCTGTCTCCCCTGCTCATATGTAGCTTCCATATCTATAACATCGTCTGGGAGCAGGGAGAACACAGCTCCACGGTGACAGCACATACAGCATGTTGGCCCTTTCGCTCTCTGTGACGGAGCAGCTCCTTTGGTTAAAGGAAATAATAATCCCTTACTTTCCTTATCACCTCCCCACTGAAAACCCGTATTGGACTCCAACTGCTTTTAAAAGTTTTATTAAAAGCCTCTTTGGCAGCGACACAGCCACTCAGGAGGCTAAAATTAATGACAGCTTCAGAAATCTCGTTTTCTTTTCTTGTGCACACTACTTCCTGTAACACGGGTCAAAGATACAGACTTCAGCTACCTGAGACTGACAGAAGTAATTACACAATCCTGAGCTTTTGAACACACACACACACTTTACCTCTCACTCTATAGAAAACAGGTTTATTCTTCTGTAATCAGACTTTTTTTTTCTTATTTAGTCTGTGAATGCATTGTGGATCTTTTCCCACACAAGTCCGTGCATTCATTATGTGTGGCAGAGTGGGTCCGAGTATTGAACTACCGTACTACAGCAAGCCGGCTGYTCGGCACACAGCCAATGATTGATGTGTGAGAAATGCCCATCCCCCCCACTGCCACTGCTCTGTCTGTACATCTGTCTCTCCGTGCACCCCCCCAGTCTCTGCCACTGTGATGCTATCTCCGAGTCTGTGTGTCTGTAGGCAGGAGGTGACGCAGTGTCTGACTGAATCCAGACAAAGAGACAAACTCATCAGCCAACACACACACACACACACACAAGTGAGAGAGGGGGGAAAGAAGAGGAGTGGGTGAAGGGTGTGCAAGGGGTAGTGAGTAAAACAAAACAGACAAAAGATAGAATGCCAAAACTCTACTCAAACTCGATTCAAAAGCCTCCCCCCGCCCGCACTTCTTCTCCTTTCCAGCCGCCGTCCCCTCCAAAACGCACACATTCAGTCTCACAATATTGTCTGAATCTGCAGGAAGCGCTGGGTGACCCCTCCATCCTCCACGCACATACAAGCAGGAGGAGAGCGAGGCGAGGATGGAGGGCCAGACATCTGAGAAGTTCTGGTCGGCTGACACAGAGCATAACGTGATGAAACCTTCCTGCAGAAGAAAAGCCTCTCTGCGACCAGGGGCCAGTGGAAACGGTCGCTCACAAACACAACAGGAAGTAAGAAATGCTGAAAATGTTCAATCAAAAGGCAAAGAAAAGAACACCACTTGCCCACTGTTACTTTTACCTCTTTGAAAAGCAAGTTTAAGAGTTAGCTCTGACAAAACAAAACATTGTCACAGCGGTCACACAAAGTTACCAAGTGTGGCTTCTCAATTATAAAAATTGCCAAACAGTTTTAGTACAAATCAGCATAAAACCACAACTTTATGAGGAAATGTAAAGTCAAACAAACTTGTTTCATTTCAAAATAAAGCCTTTATCTGCCGGAGCACACAGGTCGTGCACCTTCTTCAGACTTAATTATTTCCGGGTATTATGTGCATCAGAAGGAAAAAGAAAAGCACAGACAGCATTGTTGTGTCATTGTCTGGAATTCCCTGACTTTGTGTGTGTGTGTGTGTGTGTGTGTGTGTGTGTGTGTGTGTGTGTGTGTGTGTG